TCCGGAACTCCGGAAAGACAGAATGTGATCGGAAGTCACATGATCTGTCATTTTTTTTCTGTTTCACTTTGTTACTAGTCAACGATTGGATATTATATATAATGGGAAAAATTTCCCTTCTAGAAATTTCTCTATAAAAATCTACACTGCATAATGCTTTATCGTTTTAACCCACTCCTTTTTATAAAACCTATTTTATTTCGCAGATATTCTATTTTCACACCTTCTACTATGGCTACAATGAAAGCAATTCAGATTCAACGACACGGTGGCACTGAAGTTCTAGAGTATGTGGATCTGCCTCGTCCCGAAGTGACCGCAAATAATATTTTGGTAAAAAATCACGCGATTGGTGTGAATTTTATCGATACATATCACAGGTTAAATTTCATAAAATTAATATTCTTGACATTCACATGCGTAAGCATTAATGTGATAACGTCGATAAAAACGAGTGTAGAACTGGTCTTTACAAAGTTTCACTTCCATTCATACTTGGACGTGAAGGCGCAGGTGTGGTAGAATCGATTGGTGAAGGTGTAACTGATTTTGCACCGGGGGATCGAGTGGTTTATATGACAGCGCATAGCTACGCTGAATATACACTTGCTCCATCCAGGTAATTAAAATGATATACTACACTCATGATTTTTTTACTAAAAGTATTCTTTCTTGCAATAAAGTTACGCTTATAAGATTCCGTCAGATATTGAATTTAAAGAGGCTGCTGCTTTTTTGCTTCAGGTAAAAATAATAGAATTACATTAATTTCATACCACGTTCATCTAATAAAGTTTGGTTCCTATTCACGTTAAAAAAAGGGCTTAACCTGTTGGACTTTAGCCACGCAAAGTTATCCGGTGCAAAAAGGCAAATCTTTAATATCTATCTAATCATATGCGTTTATAATGCTAATCTCCAAGATTTTTCTTCGCTAATTATTGCATAAATAATATCCAGAGGATTATGTGCTTATACACGCGGCAGCCGGGGGAACTGGTCTTTTGCTCACTCAATTATCGAAATTATTAGGAGCTCATGCAATTGGAACCACGTCAAACGCTCAGAAAGCAGAATTAGCAAAAAAGGCAGGCGCGGAATATGTAATAAATTATACCACAGAAAACGTCGTCGAAAAAGTGAATGAAATTACCAATGGATTGGGTGTTCATGTTGTTTACGATGGTGTCGGAAAAGACACGTTCGAAACTTCATTAGCGTCAGCTCGTCGGCTTGGAACCGTCGTTTCTTTTGGGAATGCTTCCGGTCCTGTTCCGCCGTTTAGTATTTTAAGATTAGCAGATAAAAATCTAAGGTTAATGAGAACAACTTTAATGAGTTATCTCACCACCAAAGAAGAATTTCAAAAGTATACTAAAGAATTATTTGATCTGGTCCAAGAGAGAAAAATTTCATTGTTAAATATTCAAGTTTATAAGTTGAGCGATGCGAAAAAAGCTCACGATGATTTAGAATCACGAAAAACTACTGGGAAATTAATTTTAGAACCTTAGTGTAGAAAACCTAATTTGTAAATTTGCATTCGTAAATATAATGTTACGCAACTGTTTCATTTCATTATTAACGCGAAACTTCAAACAAAACGTATTTAAATATTTTAATAAACTTCATGCCGAACATTAAACAAGAACCAGGAGTAACCTCGAATGGAACAGGTAAAGAAGGTGTCATTAGATAATTCTACTCTCCTCTAGTTTAGTTTCCCATATTTGTTTGCAAGTTTGCTCGCCTTACCAAAATCTAAAGTTGTATTTTCCTCGCACATTATATTTTCCAGGAACTAATTCAAAACGAAAAGCACCTACAAATATCGAATCAACCACAACAGATAACAACGAAATAAATGACCAACTCGATAAAGATTCATCAATAACAGATATAGACGATTCGAGAAACTCGAAAAACATTAAATCGCCAAAACGCGAACAATCAATAAGCACAGACGGTATGATCTATAATTTATGCCAATGTTTAAAGGAAATGCCTCGACCTTATTATTTATTTATTGTTATCGTTTGGTCAATATATAATTAGGCGTGGAGCCGTCAGATTCCGGTAATTCAAGTAAACGACGTGCACCATCTCCGGTACGAGAAGAGGGGACGAAACCACCACCAGAGAAAAAACAAAAAGCGAAAAAAGAGAAGGAAAAAAAACCGAAAACGAATGGACGCAACAAAGGTATCATTTAATAGCTATTAACATTGACCTGTTTAATAAATCAGCTCGATCATATAGTCTACTTATCTCTTTCCTTCTAATTCGATTCCTGTTGAATAAAAAGGACCAATTGACTTGGATAAGCAATGTGGGGTAGTAATGATCCCTGGGACACCTCCATGCACGCGTTCATTAACTTGTAAAAGTCATCCGATGGCTGCAAAACGTGCGGTTCGTGGTCGATCACAGCCATATGACAATTTACTACAACAATATCAAAAAAAATCGATTGGTCGTCCACAAAGTATTATGTATTTATTTTATTTTATTTTTTTCGGCATCAAAACTGGTTTTGTATGTGCTAATCAACTCGGGATATATAACACAACGCAGATAACAATCAACCTGGTATGAAAAATGAAATCGGAAAAAAGGACGGGATGAAAATCGAGGGCGCTGATAAAACAGAGGAAGAAGATATTGTTTCGGATGATGAAGTGGATTCAGTAATGGAAGCGATCCGGCGTAGTAACCCTCAACCACTTGCGCGACGAAAATCTATTTATGCGAAAAGACCTAGGACAGATTATTTTAATTATCAAAGCATGATTTCGGATGCATTTAAAAATAATTGAAAAAAAGTTCATTCACAAAATCAAACTAATTTATATTTTAACTTGGTTAATAATAATCTCAGAGATGCCTTAGTTGCATCCAACTACAGGCAAACGTATCTCGTTGATGAGTCCAACATCAAATAGTTTCATAGAATATCGATAATATATTAGGAATGAATATTATTTTTTTGAACACAGATGCAAAAATCACCTATGTTCAATAAAATAAGCTGTTTGAAGTATTAATGGTTTGTAAAGATCCTTGTTATTTATCTTACCGAAAAATTTTGACAATATTCAAAAAGAAATAACAAATATATATATATATATATATATATATATATATATATATTATACTGAAATCAATGTTAATTTTTTCACATAAAATTTTATATTCCACCAAAATTAATATATTTGATGTTCAAATATTCATCGATACCGTATTTAGATCCTTCACGACCAATACCAGACTGCTTAATCTATTAGACATAGTAAACATTATGAATAAAAATATCATACACAAGTTATTTAGGCATCATTCATTTCCAATACTCACCCCGCCAAATGGTGCTTCACAGCTACTAATTATTCCTGTATTTATTCCTACCATACCAACTTCCAATGCTTCAGCCACGCGCCAACATCGTCCAATATCTCGACTATAGAAATATCCCGCCAGACCAGACTCTGTAGAATTAGCCATCTCGATGACATGTTCTTCAGTGTCAAACTTGAAAATTCCGGCTATCGGGCCAAAAGTTTCTTCTTGAGCAATCAGCATTTCAGGATGCAAGTTGGAAAGTACAGTCGGTTCATAGAAATTTCCACCGACATGTTTCCCCCCTATTAGTATTTCTGCACCTTTCGAAACCGCGTCATCAACATGTCGTGTACACTTTTCTATAGCTTTGCGACTTATTAATGGACCGTGAGTTGTATTTGAATCGAATCCATTACCCACTCGAAAGTTGGAGACTTTTTGGGTGAGATGTGAAGCGAACTCTGCGTGTACAGACGACTGAACGAAAATTCGATTAGCACACACACACGTTTGACCTGAGCTGCGAAACTTTGAAGTAATCGCGCCTATTTTGAATCGAATAAAAACTCATTAATTCGGGTATATATCATGTGAAATCAGATCTACAAACCTTCGACCGCTGCGTCAATATCTGCATCGTCAAAAACGATAAAGGGTGCGTTTCCACCCAGTTCGAGAGTAACTTTCTTTAATGTGCTTGAACTTTGTTCCATCAACATTTTTCCAACTGCTGTCTTATTTTTTTAATAGGGATTTTTTAGAATCTCAAGGAAGAAAACCGTAACAAACAATTACTTTTTAGCTTACTTACCGAACCAGTGAAAGAAATTTTTTTAATGATAGGATTGGTGGTCATTTCCAATCCCACTTCTTTATATTTTTCATGACTAGTTACCACATTATAAACACCTTTAGGTAATCCTGCTCTGTTAGCCAATTCTGCCATTGCCAAAGCCGAGAACGGCGTTTCCGAGGCAGGTTTAACAACTACAGTACATCCAGCAGCCAAAGCAGCGCCAACTTTACGAGTTATCATAGCGTTCGGGAAATTCCATGGGGTGATTATACCCACAACACCAACCGGTTGTTTCTGTACCACAAATCTTTGATTTTTAATCGGAGAGGGAATAACATCGCCGTATGTACGAGTTGCTTCCTCGGCAAACCATTCGATAAAATTGGCACCATATTTAATCTCACCAAGAGCTTCTGAAACTGGTTTACCATTCTCTTGAGTAAGGATTGACGCGAGATCTTGTTGATGTTCTATTATGAGTGAATACCAATTCTTGAGCACATCATGTCGATACTTTTGTGAAGAGAAACAGATATATTAATATACAGATGTATATATATATATATATATATAGGTTACCAGCCACTATATGTTCGAACTAGCGAACACATATAAACCAAACTAACTAACTACCTTTGCTGTTTGTCCTGACCAACTTTTAAAGGCTTCACTTGCAGCTTTTATAGCTTTTTGAGTATCCTCCTTATCCATATCTGGTGCTTTGCCAATCTCGTTTTCTGTAGCTGGATCTACATAAACATGTATTCAATAGAAAAGGGATTCTAGTATAGTAAAAGATCACCTAACAATTTACAAAAAATTTGAGTGCACTTTTTTTTTTTACCCAAAACTGTAAAGGTTTTTCCAGTAACGGATTTGACCCAAGCACCACTTATAAAGGATGCTTCACGAAATAACGAAGGGTCTTTTAACTATTGAAAACTTCCTCGTTCTTGTTAAGAAACGATAAATGAAATGTAGTATGGTTTTGATAACACCTAACCAACCTTAAGCATGTTTACGGTTTTAGTCGTGAAGTATCGACAGTTTATGAAGCTTGGAAGGACACCCTTTGAGCTACTATCTGTTAACGTATTGCTCAAAATAAATTTATTATTATGGAATGAGGCGCGAAGAACTTTCAACATCTTTGTGTTGATCATCTACGTGATTGAAAAACGCGAACTATCGCTATGCAGATCTATTTAATTGTTTTAGTAAATAATCTTTCACAGTAATTACATCATTGTTTTTTTTCCCTGAAAAAATATTTATGCTTATCTTTCCTAAACTGAAGTTACGAGAAAATACGAAAATTTTTTCTATGATAAATTATCAGCTGTGGCTATGAATTAATTATTATTATATAGACGAAACATTATTAATGATCAATACAGAATATAGAAACAGCAAAAAAAAATCCGCGAGTTTTAAGAGTTTAATGTTTTTTCTCTTTTTTTATTTCCCAAGACACGTCAATCACTCTCTTCAGTCTCTTCTTCAACTGAAGCAGAGTCATCCGAAGCATCTTCATCATAACTACTTCCACTCTGCAAATTAATCAAGTAATGTGTAAAGATAATATAAATAAATCATCAAATAAACATAATCTTCAAACGGAAGCAAACTTACATCGTCATCATCAGCCTCGCTTTCACTTAATTGGTATTCACTTGCAGAGTCAGAGGATGCGTCTGAACCTTCACCCTATATTTGTAAAAAAAAAATAAAATGGTGCATTAGTTTCCTTAACCTTTTAAATGAATTACAACACTATGGAACACAACTTACATCCTCATTCTCGGCTAAAAATGACCAACCACCTTCCTTGTAAAATTCTGCCGGGTCAGCGTTTATTGTCTTCATAATCTGCGTCCAGTTCAGATTAACAGGTCCTTCAGTAAATGTTACATCCACGTTGCTGAAAAAAATTAACTTGAGTAACTTGCTTTGAAAGTGTTAATGAATTGACACCACATTTTCTACTCACTCTAGCCATTCTTTCACATTTTCTAATTGTTCCATCGGAATTGTATTGATATGTACAGGCGGACGCGAGTAATCTTTAAATACAAATACAATATCAAAATGTTTCAATCCATACTAAATAAACCCAATGAAATAGAAATTAATTAGAGATCTGTTATTGTACGTGAGAAAAGGATAACACATCAAAATGTGATTTCTGACAACAAATCATTCACCTGAACACGTTCCAAATGAGCAATCTCTATATCAGCAAGTGTTATTACCAAGAATGGTGGATCAGTTAAGTGAACAAGAGCATCATTTGTAGGTTGAAGTAATACATTGGTTCTAAAAGGAACGCCGTTGAATCCTAAATTTCTATAAGGAACCTCAATTTCTTCTATTCGATCAGTCTACGAATCAACGAGAAGTCAGAAATATCCTATACAAGTCAATCAAGTCAATATTTTACTTACTGCATCAGCTATTTTTTCTGCAAAAGATTTGAATTCTTTATTCAATTGAGCTCGTCTTCTGCGTTCCTCCTGCTCGGCACCTAATTCATCTTCATCACCATATCGATATTTTCTCTTGCGGTTGCCTGTTTCATCGAATTGAACATCTGAAGCCTCTCGATAAAATTGAATGTCCTATATATAAATCACAAGTGATTATTAATAAAGAATATGCTATTACTCCCCATTAACAAAGGAAGAGGTACCTTTGTTTTTTTCTTGCCAATCATGATAGGATTTTTCAAATGTGCATGCAACAACACGATGAGTTCATTGTCGCAAGGTTGGAAAAACATATGTTTGACATTACTAAACAGAATATCTTTAAAGAAAACAAACACAATTAAATCAAGTCTTTTATAATTAATTCATAAATCGGATTCAAATCTAACCTATTTTTTGATTCGTTTTACTAGCATGATATCTTAATCCATTCTGATGTATTTCGAGCTCTCCTGGCGCTCGTTTGCCCTCTAATCCAGGTCTTGCAAATACTTCTGACAATCGTTGAGGTCTTCGACCTAAAAATAAAAGAAAAATTAGCCTTGTATTAAAGATTTAATATCTTTCTGAACACTAAATAAAGGAGAGGTAATGACCTTTTAATTCTATGAGCTTATCCTGTTCGACAATATCTGCCCGTTCTTTACGCTCCGCTTCTCTGATAAATTTAAAAATAAAGGACGTGTTAAACTGAAACAAAATTATGGATTAAAGATTAAGAATTACATATACTTACTTTTTGGAAGCACTTTTCTTAAGATCAAGAATCTTTTTGTGGATCTCGGATAAATACGGATCTGTACTTCGATATGAAACGGCACGAACAAAGGTTGCGTTCGTGTCATCAAATGGCTGCAAACAAATTTACAAAATATGGTGAATCTTGTAACAGTTAAAATTTTAAACATAGCATTTGAAAATTCGTAATTATAACTTACCATATCTTCTTTCTTGCCAGACGCTTGATTAGGAGTTAAGAAATTCAAACGTAAATAAGTATAATCCCCTTCTTCGCTTTTACTTGCATTTTTTAGCGTTGAAATATGGAAAGGTACAGCAAAGCCATAAATAGGTAAAATGATTGATTCGTTTTTTTGATCTACAACAATCTATTAGAAAGATAATACAATCACAAAATTCAATATTCTATAAGTATACCTATTATAGAGAGAGTGTGTATGTATGTGTATATACCTTAAGTTCTTTGACTTCTTTAGGCAAAGCAGAATCCCGTTTATAACTTTCAAATTTTTGAAAGAAAACTTGCTGTTGATATGTTTGCTGATCTGAGGATTCAGCAAATCTAGCCAATCCTTCTGCTTGTTTTAAAGCTGCCAATTCCCTTTGATGTGCTCTGCGCTGTTGATCTTTAGTTTCTTCACGCTATTAACCAAAAAAAAAGAAAAAAAAGCAGAAATCTATGAGAATGCTTTCAATTTTATTAGTGGACTAAAAAATCAGCTTATTAATAACCAACCTGCTCTTCACTCCTGAATTTAGTTCTCAATACAGCACTTTTTTTAGGTGGGGCTTTCTTCGGCTCAGTTTGTTTGACTGGCCGTTTGTTTTCTTTCTTTGCTTCTTGATCGCTTTTCCCTTCATCCTTAATTAGAGGGAAATTTGATTGTTAACATGTCACAGTTTTACTATTATTGTTTAGAATATTTTTTATAGTTTTGTTTTTTTAGCAAATTACCATAAAAGTGTAAGACACAGAGTCTAAGGTTTTTTGATAATCCGTTAGTATAATTGGTCGATCATTGGTCACTCGTACTGTATCAATTACTAAAAGTGAATAACTGTTAAATAAAATTTAGATTAGAAACTATCTTAATTATAATGAAAAAATGCTTAGAAAATCATTCTCACTTTTCACTTCGTTTATCATCTGTTGCTTGTTCATTTTTAAGGTTTTGAAAACCTATCGATAGATTCAATACCATTCCACTCTTTAATTCTCTCGTGTTTTTAGGATTCAGAAGATAATGTCCCTCACGGAATTCGATTCCCATCTAGAAAAAAGAATCGACAAGAATATTTAATATAAAATTTTAAGGATTCCTTAATCCTTGATAAGAAATATTACCCCAAATCCAAGAGTCTTAACAAAGGCATTTTCGAGATCGGGCCGCTTGGATTTAATATAATCAATAGCTTTCGAGTATACATCTCGTATTTTTGTGCCATCTTTTATGTATTCTAGAACATGCCGCTGAAGATCCAAAAGGAACTGGTAATTTCTTTCTTGAGTCTATCATAAAAATCATTTTTTTAAAAGATATTTTCAAGTTAGAGACACACACACACTCTCTATATATGAGGTATATGAAGAAATGAAAATATATAATAGTACCTTAGTTGCTTGTATAAGAATTGTTCTTCCGATATTGGAACAATAATATTTATACCTTGCTCCTAATGAACATAATACAATACTTCCACTTCCGGTATGTAATTTTTCGTCAGTAGATTGTGCCGAGGATTTCAGATCGTATTTTCCACCACTTTGGATTATAGGTGTATAACAGGATTCCAGTCGTTCTAAGTCAAGCTGGATGATATTTCCATGGTTAGAAAATTATTCAAATAAATAAAATTATCAATCATAAAAAAGAAACCATTCTTACATCTGGAACATTAATGCTTTTAGCAAGTGTTTTATCAGTCTCAATCATTGTCTGAATTTCTTCAGCAAGCTGGTCATGATTCATATCTTTCCCTTCATCGATAATAGTACCCAATGTATCGTAGACTCTCCTCATAAGGGTAGAGCTTATTTTACTGGCGATTTTTATTAGTTTCTATTGATGTTGTTCATTGATTAATATTAATAATGATATCAAATTGTCTTTGTCATATATGAACGCATACCAATTCATCTTCATCCTTGATGGATAAGCTGGAAGCTACGCCAGCAGAAACATCGACTTCTTGTATGTCAGATTTTATATTCTCGTACACCTTTTGCCATTCTTCTAGAAAGCTGCCGGTGTATTTTTGTTTCGGCAATATACCAATACGTTTCTAAGGCAACAGTAATAAACTCTCATGTTTAACCAATTCGTTGGATTTTAATGAAAAGGTGTTGAAATTCAATCTCCATCGTTACCTCGGCATTTGTTTCCAGCATGATATTACAGATTTGTTCTAACAACTTACGATTATGATTAGTATCCTTCGTTCGTTTGAGAATCTCAATGGGTATTTGCTTTTCACCCAGCTTTAAATCTTCTAACATATTTGCTAAAGAAAAAAAATCAATAAAGGTGAATATGTGCAAACCGAAATATTACGATACTATGTGATATGCTAACCTCTACTCTCGCTCGTCACGAAATATATTTTTTCGGTCGTAAAGAGAATCAATACATTAGGTATTTCTAACCCTAAGAGCCAGCTCTGAAAAGACAGGCATTTTTAGAGATTAACTACTACAAAATTAAAAAATAAAATGAATGGCTACCTCCAACGCTATTGATTTTTGATAAGGATAATCTTCTTGCAACTCGCCTATTACGGCGAGAATTGCGGAGGCACCTTGAAAAAATTCGTCAGAAGTACCCTTTTTGAGCGAAGCCTGAAAATGAGCAAAAGCATTACCAAAAAACAAAAATTAGTAACCAAGTAGATTTAGTAGTCCGGAGTTAAGTGAGTGCTTGTACTGCGCTAGTTAAAGTTTAAGCGAAAAGGCCTTTCTATAACTTGTTAATTTTAAAAAAACGCGTATTGCAGCATACAGAGTAACAAAGTCGCGTGTAGAAAATTAAGGAAAAGTAGAGAAATTCGTAAAATTTAGTTGTGCACACCTTCCAAGAAGACAATAAATTTCGTGCACGTTTATGAAAAGTTTTTGCATCAAGGCGAACTTGTTGTCTCATTTTCGCGATCAGTAAAAAAATAGTGGAAATAGAAGATAGTTTACGGCAAGTATTTCAACCTTTCCTTAATTAATAACGATGTCACGTGAAATATTTACAGGTATTATGACAACGTCAACAACTTCTTGAGGTCTTCTGAGATTTGTTTGTTTTAATATGGATATTGTCCAAGCGCACTAAATGAGTCAATTTTTAGAATCAATAACTTGGCGTGAGTCTACTATCTTCAATTGATATAGAGAAATAGAACTAACTACGAATACGGTGTAATCTCGATGTTTTTAACAATCCTTATGCGTCAAAAACAAATATACTTTTTGTAATAAATGCTCCAATCTGGTAGATAATCAAAGGCATTGTTCTCAAAATGACATCAAAATTATATTTAACATAGTACATGGGAACAAACTATGGAACTAAAAAATATGGAAAATAGGTCAGTGAGTAGTAATCTAAAAAAAAAACTTTATTTTTCTTAACTCATCAACTTTTTTTATGTCATTCATATATCCGATATTAAACCTATAATCTAACGTATTTAGGATAAAAAATACTATGTTCAGAATGCTTTGCGTGTGAATCCACTCGAATATGTTATTGGAACCAAACAAAATTCTGATACGATAGCTTTGTAACGTGGGGTCGGATATAATCTTCTAATAATTAAAGATGCGGATTCGATATTAATGCATGTGCTTTTAGCGATAGGATCTGTACTATTGTTTATTTAATCAGACAAATATGCTAAAAAGTAATAAATTACGTTGAGCAAATTTATCTATTATACGAATCGCAACGACTTGTGTATTTATTATTAAACGACCAGCAACTGAGGAGCGCAAACATTCTATATAGCAATCTTGAAAAGGAGCCAATACTGCAAATCTTTGACAAATATCTTATCAAGAAGACCCTTCCAGTCCTACGATCAGACAGGAGAAAGACGAAACGTTTAAGGTTATTTCTAAACATAAAAATTCGAGCACCTTAAAACTATATAATTAAAGCAGATATAATATTCGAAATACACGAAATTAAATGCTTAATTCTGGTAAAATTATGAAATCAGAAAAATTTTGAATTAGTCATAATAATGAAAACGAGAAATTTTTCCTTGCATACACATACTTAACAACAACCTACTGTTCCACCCCCCCCCCCCCCCCCCTTTCTCCAGCTTTCCATATTTTTGTTTTTGATGCTATCGCGACGATTCGGATACTCTTATAAAACGAAGACCGCGTTTCCTTTTCCTTTCAAGGTTTCTTTTGTTAATAAAAGCAATTTGTTACAACGACAACAACAATGTTATCACATTTGTTTTGGTGGTAAAAGTGGCGGTCTAACTGGCCATAGTGATGGTCTAAAAAATAGAGCGCGACTTCAAACATTTTTCGGAGAAGTTCGTAAGAATAATGTTAATGGCCATTATCGCGTTGATTTTTACGCGTATCATCGGTGTTATGCTTCAGTGAGAAATAAAACAAAAGTTGTTAATTCTACAAAAACAACTGAAAGCTTGAAAAAAAAAACAAAAGCTGATAGTTCTTCAATATCAAATAAAACAGCAACTAAAATTCCCATAAAAGAAAAAGTTAGTAAATCTAATACCACAATAACTAAAGGACCTCGAAAAAACCAGGTGGCTACTGATAAAGAATCTGCGAATGTTGAGAGCGATGCAAATCATGAATTAATTGAAAATAATACTAAATCAGATGATTCAACAAATACTGAGGCTGATGTTAAGGGAACTTCATCTTCTTTAATAGGAAGTGATGCATCAAGTGAAGTGTCAGCAAGCGAAGAAATTGCTGAAGGAAAGTTGGATGCTTCGCCTGTAACAAAGGATAGCTCAAATGAGGCATCAGCTGAAAAAATTGAGTTAAAGGATAACAGCATTGATTCTAATCCGCAGAATTATTCCGCCAAGAACGATTCAATTCACAAGGAATTTATAAGTGAAACAGATGAAAGCAGAGTCAACATAACGGATCATCCAACTACAAGCGAAGAAGCAAAAACAGAGGCATCTGTCGATGATGATACCACAAAAGAAAACATCAATTCAATTCAGAATTCCTCCATTAAAGATGGATCAAATAACGACAATATGGTAGTTGAGAATTTGTCTTGTAATGAACCAACATCAATTGACGATTCGTCAAAAAATGATGTACCCACAAAAATATCCTCAAGTGCCGACACTAAACCAAGTGAAATCATTGTTGTAGATGCAAAAACTATAGAATCAAATCAGAGATCTATAGGAAGTGGCGAAATTCACTTGAGCGATAGCCAATTAGAAAAAATTTTGGGACCATTGCGCCAATTAAATGAAAATTCGGCCAGAATTGCAAATTATTTACGCCAATTAAATGAAATTCATTCTTTATGTTTGTCTATACTTTGCGCATGTTCACAAGCCATTATAGACGTGACAAAAGATGAAAAGGCTTCAAAACAGAGCAAAGAAGGGGATTCAAATGTATGAGTTTTCGTAGTCTGGTCGTATCATTTATTAATAGGATATTTGGTCTAATATATAAAAGTCTTCGAATGCAGGAAATAAATAAAGATCTCGACATCTCTGAATTCAAAAATTTCTGCGAAAAAATCAATGCGACGGAAGGAACTCTCAAAAAATTTGAAACAATACGTGAACATCCGGAATTTAAAAACATTTTGATACAAATATTAAACAATAAAAAACCATTTTATGTAAAATCGGTTAAGTTGAAAAAGTTTATCGACAAATTTGAACCTAATGAACTTAAAATAATGCTAGAAAATGCGACAGAGTATCCTACCATATATAGTTTATTTGATGCTTTATCTACCAAACAAATTACAGGGAATACCGGTCGTCTTGCTATTGAACGGTACATACGAGAAAAATGTAACTCACCCGAATTAAGAGAATTCTTTAACAAGATTTTAGATAAAAAGCTCAATATCAATATAGCTTCAAAAAACATGAACAGAATTTTTGGCGCCAACACAATTCCTTTGTTTTCCGTCGCATTAGGTCAAGAACTACCAGAGTCTAATTTTGATAAACTGTTTCCAGAGTCACAAGAATCATCTGGTATTAAATGGTTTGTTTCACGCAAATATGACGGTGTTAGATGCATCGTCCAATATTATCCTAATTCAAAGGAAATAAAAATTAGCTCAAGACTGGGAAATCCTTTTACAGCATTAAAAGATCTCGAAGAAAGGATAAAATCTTTAATGAATCAAAATCAAGACTTAATCTCAAAAAATACGATATGGGAAAGTGGTTTGGTGTTGGATGGGGAAATATGTGTTTTTGATGAGGAAGTTAAAGATCGCGAAAAATTCCTTTCAGCTTTAGAAGTGAGGAAAGTTAATGATTATCAGATGAAAAACTTTCAGTATTTAGTGTTTGATTGTTTAACTGAAGAAGAGTTTACCAAAATGAGTGGCATCAGAAATTATCAAGAACGTTTAGATTTCTTGAATAAATTATTACCCGATGACAAGAAAGAGGATCTAGGCATGATAAGCATAATAAAGCAGAATATTTTGGAGAGTAAACAAAGTTTAGAAAAGCAGTGGGAAAATGCAAAAGCGAAAAATTGGGAAGGATTAATGTTGCGTAAAAATGTCGGATATCAAGGCAAGCGAAGGTTAACGATTTATATTTCTTGGAAACAAATTTACTGTTTTGTTGTTAATTCGCTTCAAATACTTCTTGCAGATTTATTTAAATTGGCATAATATTTTACCTCGTGTTAGTTCAGATCTCCTGAAAGTCAAAGGAAGAAAAGATGCAGAATATACTGTGAAAGATATTGAAATAGGGCCAATGAAGATCGACGGCGTGGAGTATAAAGATGTTTTACGTAGTGTAGTTATTGAACATCGTCATGGTATGCATTTCTTCAAGTTTATTAATTTTCTTGATCTTTCCCTTCGCTTATCTTTATTGTCTTATGAATTAGGAAACAAACTAAATAAAGTGCATGTTGGAAGTGGATTAACAAACGAAGATCGCCTGAAATATAGGACTCCTAGATCTATTATTGGTAAAGAAGTAACAGTAGAATACACCGATGAATCCAAAACTCAAAAAAAAAATGGCAAAGGGGAATGCGAAACTGTAACATCGTTGCGATTTCCAAGAATAAAAGCCATTTATGAAAAAAAAAGGGATGTTTAGCTCAATAATCTAAATGAAATTCTTGTGTTTAATAGTTTCCTTTGACTTTGATATATAAAAATAAACATTGATCATGAGATTTATCACGTGAAGTATAATTAATTCTTATAATAATTAATAGCAAGTATAATATTTTCATTTTTATTATACAAAATTAATAATATAATTATTATTTTCAATATTAAATTAATCAAGCTTAAATATAATATATAAATAATATAATATTTAGTTAAAGTTCTTGATTCTTAATAAAAAAATAAAATTATTAATATTTAAAAAATATTTATAAAAATTTAATAACTTAATTTAGCAAATTCAAATAAATAAATAATCTTAATAACAATAGAAAAATATGAAATATATATACTTATTTATAGAATATAATGAGTAAATAATTAAATAAAAACAAATAATAATAATAATAATTAATTAATTAGCTAAGTAATAATAATAATAATAATAATAATAATAATTTATTATTTAAATTCAAGCTAATAAAAAATTAATATTTTATAATAACTTTATAATTAGAATAATTCTTTTAAAAATAAAAATTATTTCTTAATAAAATTATCTAATTTTTATTATATTTATTAATAAAATTAATCTTTTAATATATTATCTTTAGTTATTATCATAATATTAATATTATATTAACTTTATTTTAAAAAATTTTCTTATATATATATATATATAGATAAATCTATTTGTTATCATTGATAACAGCATCAGATTATTTGATCAACTATTAAAATTGCAGAATTTGTATATAATAAAAATAATAATAAATTAAATTATAAGATTAAAAAAATTTAAAAAACAAATAATTTTTTAAAAAATGATAATAACTCAAAAGTTTATATATAAAACTATCTTTTATATTTTAAGAAAAAATATTTTTTGTAAAATTTTACTCTAGAATAACTAATTAATATTTCTAATAAGATGATTATATTAAAGTACTAAAACTTTTTTTACAAAAAAAAATCTAATATTATTATTAATAATAACAAATATATTTTTTTTATATATATAATAACTTTCATAATTATAGAATTAGAGAATTAATTTTATTAATATGAATTGGTACAAAAAGATTTATACCTCAGATAAATATTAATAAATTATTTTTTCAAAATAAAATTTTAATTCTGTCTTATTTAATTAAATTATTAGGT